TGCACATCAACTGTTAAATCAAGACTTGCTGTAAGAGACTAAGTATCGAATTGTGAAACTGAACGAAGGCTTAGGTTCGTATACTGTAATAAAGCAAAATAAGAGGAAGATTTCTTACCAAGCTTCTCGCGGCGGACTACCCGAGCCGCAACTTGTAACGTGGTCCTTGGCAGCCCGTCTTGGTGGGGAAAGTGCACGGGCTGCGCCCCCGGTCGCAGCGCAGCGTGCACGACCTCAGGCAGCCCGGCCGGGTTAGAGGAGTGCACGACTGAGGGCAGCACGTCCCGACTGGGGGGAAAGAAGTGCGAGGTCTGCCCCCCCGGTGGCGGCGTGGCGCGCATGGCTGAGGGCAGCCCGCCCTGGAAAGGCGGGGAGGAGTGTGCGGGCTGCCCCCCTGGTTGCGCCACAGTGCGCACGACTTGGGGAAGCCCGTCCAGACTGGGGGGGAAGGAATGTGAGGGCTGCCCCACCGGTTGCGCCGCGGCGGGCACGACCCGGGGCAGCCCGTCGTGATCAAGAGGGAAGGAAAGGGCGGGCTGCCCCTCCGGCTGCGTCGCGGTGCGCACGTCGCCGGGTTGTCCGTCCTGGGGGGCAAGGAAGGAAGGGGCGGGCTGCCCCCCGTGCTGCGGCGCGGTGCACACGTCGCGGGGCTGCCCGTCCTGGGGGGCAAGGAAGGAAGGGGCGGGCTGCCCCTCCGGCTGCGTGGCGGTGCGCACGCCAAAAAGTTGCCCGTTCTGGGGGGGAGGGAAGCAAGGGGCGGGCTGCCCCTCCGGCTGCGTCGCGGTGCGCACGTCGCCGGGCTGCCCGTCCTGGGGGGCAAGGAAGGAAGGGGCGGGCTGCCCTCCGGCTGCGGCGCGGTGCGCACGTCGCGGGGCTGCCCGTTCTGGAAGGGGGAGGAGGAGAGGGCGGGCTGCCCCCCCGGCTGCGGCGCGGTGCGCACGTCGCGGAGCTGCCCGTCCTGGGGGGCCGGGAAGGAAGGGGCGGGCTGCCCCTCCGGCTGTGGCGCGGTGCGCACGACCGCGGGCTGCCCGTTCTGGAAGAGGGGGGAGGAGAGGGCGGGCTGCCCGTCCCGGACGGGGGAGGAGGGAAAGGCGGGCTGCCCCCCTGGCCTGGGCGCAACGCGCATGACCGCGGGCTGCTGGGGCGGAGAGGCATGCGCGGGGGGCGTGGAGCAGGCGGGGGGGGTGGATTCGCGGGAGAGCGGGGCCGCCCCTGGTTGCAGCACATTGATTGCGCCTGCAAAAGTCGAGATGAAAACGTCAGGCACTTCCAGGTTCAAGTTTGAGTCAGACCTCCGACAATGCAAAGCACGAAGGATAGGAAGCATCAAGAAGTTGTCGAAAGCAATGGTGCAACAAGAGAATGCCAAAATGTTCGTTATACAATAGGCGAGCGGGGAGGCCCGTTTGACCATGCCTTACGTATCAATGCAACCAAACTCTCCTGTGCAAAGCGCACTTCAAACAGGCGGCTCGTCAGATTGGTGTCCTGATTCGACTTGGTAATCTGACTACGTCCTGCCAACGCGACTGCTACATATGATAATCAAGCGACAACAAATAAGAGGAGGAAAGAAAGCACAAATATACAGCTTCAACTTGGGAAAGCGAGGAGAAAGTTGTGCACAACGTCAAAGCCCGTTTTTCATTTAACAGTCAGGAGCATTCTGCCGTTTGGAACTCTGCCTACCAGGGAAGTGATGCCTTACCCACAGCCTGCGTGCTCTTCAGCTGTTGCTCCTCCAGCATAGTCTCAACGACCATGGCCTCTTGATCCAGAAACTCCGGCTCCTCCCCTACATCTCCCTCGGAGACCGTTGTCCGCACTGGCACAGGGCCTGCATGAACGCCAAATCGCTCTTTGGTGGGAGGAGCGCGCCTCCACTCGGGACACGGATTTGGCCACCCCATTGCCGCGCAGGTGTCTTGCATTTCCTCCAGCAGCCAGTGGTCGAACATTCCCCAATCTTTTGCCCCCTTGTTGCGGACAGCGCACTCGTAGTTCCACCGATAGTTGAAGAGAGCGATGAGAGCCCCTGCGAGCTCAGGGGAGTAGTTGCCTCCTCCCAGAAGCGCGTTGAGATGGCGGTGGTAGCCCTCCAAGGAGGAGCAGCCCCGCACACCGACATAGCGGGGCATGCAGCCGGGGGCGCTCACCAAAATGTACATCTCGTCTACCTTGAGCGGATCTGCACGCAATGTCAAAATCGTCAAATCTCCTTGCTTCGTTGGTTAACTAAGTCAAGCATCACCAGAACTTCTGCTCAATGATCAAGAGTGTAGTGCTGACTTCGATCAGATGGAAGCACACTTGTTGTATATCGCAGCAACGTCACCAACATGGCCCAATGTCATAATAGGCACCGACTCGTTTCAAACTGCAGGAAGTGGGCCCAAGAGAAACTCTGGTACAGGGCAGGAATGCGATTCCAGAAGCATGTTGTAACTAACAGCAAAGAAAGTGACCGAGTATCCTGGCAGCTCACCGCTTAGCAAACCGTCTTGCATGAGTTGCAGCTGCAGCTCATGTGCGCCCCGGACTTCATCGGTGATGAGAGGGTCACCGTTGACTGCGCAGGTCCCCCTCTCATACTTCTTCATGACGGCTTGAACGCCGTCCACCAGCTCCTGAGCGGAGGGGATGGTATGCCGGCAGCGCGCTCGCCAATAGCTCCCAGGCTTTGCTGCCACCTCTGCTTGTGTCCACTTCCGCCTTCCAGGACCTCCAGCCAGAAGAAACTCGCGCAAGGCCCACTTGTCCGGCTGATGGATCTTGAACATTGCGTTCGAGTAGTCACGGCAAAAGTCGGCTGTGCAAAGACAAGAACTTCCGTGTGGTTGCTTTCTTGGCCAGAACTTGTTGATGGGTTCCAACCATGAGCACTGGCACATGTTATTGATGCATTCTGAGAAGGTACTTCCCTTCATTGGTGCAAAGAACGAAAACGAATTGATGCTAGCGCTATCAGGAAAGAGCCGAACAACGTTCAGACACAGTCCAAGTAGTTACACTCTTGGATCAGACTTGATGAACAACCTGTAGATTGCTTCAACTGACAAGTCTGCTTTCAAACAAGTAAAAGTTAGTTGGATGCGTCCAGAGCACTTCTAGGAAAAGCACATAGCTCGTCTATGAAAGGTCCTTACCTTTGAGAGAGTGGGCATCCGGGATTGTCTCAAAAATCCGCCGCATGACATGCGTGGCATCCTCTAGAACTCGGCTTAGACTGGGGATGGTCTCATAAAGCTGGGCAGCCACTGTTCGTGAGTTATCCACCCACATGTACTTGGGCAGCTGCAAATGGAAACGTTCAAACTAAGTTGGCAAGATCTGGGGACATCTTACAAGAGCAAGCTATCAATACTACGTCGTGCAGAAGTCAATGTCTTTAAATCCAGATCTTCACAAATAGGAGGAGAAGGACACACTGCTTCAAATCAACAAAACAATCTGCTGACCTAAGGAACCAAGCCAACTCTGACGTTATACTTAGGAGGTGAAAAAGTAACGCACCTGAAACCCAAGGTCAGCATAGCGCTTGAGAACATCCTGCACGCCCGTGACATACTCGTCAAAGGACGTGTCCCCCACAGCCCACTGGCCCACAATTTGCGACCACTCGTTCATGATCGAGTAGATGGCCGCATAGTCCTTGCGCCCTTCAGCTGAGCGGATTCGGGAGGGCGCTTGGAAGGTATGATCCCCCCGCCAAAAAACCCCATCCACCGCAGCCAGATGACGTTCAAGGAACGCAAGTCGCGAGTTCAAAGACGCGAGAATAACGCCTGCACAAAGAAGATACACCAAGATCAGGCCTGAGCAGGTCCAAGACAACGATAAGCACAGATTTTACAAAACAAGCAAGACGCGTATAAAAGAGGCACAACTTGACTAGCGTCTTGACCACGAAGTCCTTGCACTATTTGAGCGACCATTGCAGCAAGCAAAGAATGGAAGGCCTGCAGCACAACCATGTACTTTGTGCACCAGATCTGCAAGATTGTATACCAGAGATAGAAGGGGCTATCAAAAAAAATGATCAAACACTGCGGAAAGTTTGATAAATATACCTGCTATCCAGGACGTCGATGGTATCCAACCCCGATACCCTTCCTTGTCGTCATACTCTCCAAAATCAGCGGGAGGAGGAGACTCCCGCTGCACCCCGGGAAAAAGGAGCGCTCCGCCTCGCTTCTGCTGAAGCTCTGCACGTGCTGCGGCATACTGGATGTAGTTGTTCTTATGCTGAGTGAAAGTGCGCATGTGCGCTTCCCGGATCATCTTCTGCTGGTCTGCAACAGAAGCGCTACTAGCGACGTTCCTGACCATGGTCTCAAGTAAACTACGCTCGATAGCCCCACCGCGGGTGAAGACGATTGGGAGCTGCTCTAGCACCGCAGCTGGTAGCTGACTCAGCACTCCTTCGTCGTGAGAGCGAAACTGATAGGGTTTTCCACCATTCCCTGCAAAGAGAAAACAGTAATTTGTCTTCTGAAATGGTGCCATCTCGAACAGCATGCTCACAAGCTGATCGGCTGCCTAGAAGCAAACCTCAAGAAAACTGCCGCAACAATTTGGATGCTGCAACATTAAACTCTTTGGATTGATTCCAAACTATGAGAATAACCCAAAGTCTAGACTTGACTGTTCTTGGTGCCTGAGCACTCCAAGCCAAAGGACCGCAGGGCCGCTGTCACACGACTTAATCAATGACATCAGACAACAGATTATGCAGCCAGCATTGACTTGCTGCCTTTGAAATCAAAGGGTTATTTCAGCTTGTTAGTAAGTTTCAAAAATCCAGCATCCAGGATTAGAGAAGCAACGTTAGCATACCTGGACAGCCCTCGCCTGGCTTCTTGCCCTTCCCACACCTGAAGACCTTGCTGTACAGAAAAGCAGGCCCATCCGCAGCGCACACGCGGCGAATCTTGTCTGTAACTCCAACCCAGCCATCAGAGCAGACCTTGTCAGCTTTTCCACATTTGGGACAATTGATGATGGGCACAAGCTCGCCAAAAAAGAATTGCCAGTAAATGAAGTACACCACCTTGCCCGCGAGGTGGAAATGGTTTGGTAGCAAGGCATTCTGCCCTCTGCTTGCCTGCACCGGGTTCGGGTACTCTCTCTTCATGCTTGGCCAATACCTAGGATCGGGAGCTTGATCTTTGGACGGGCCAACTTTTGGATCTATATCAGGGATTACCCAAGGTGGCTTGTTTTTCTTGTCTTTCCAGTCAGCAGGTGGTACAACCTGGCTGTGAGCCCACTCCACGACATTCTTGGCACAAACCTCATCCTCATTTCTTGGATTATATTGGGCCGACGTCTCTCCAGCAGATGCAGCCATGATGCGGTTGGTACCTGTCAGAGCTCAGCTCTAATTTCTCATGAACTTCAAGTTGAGCAACTGTGGGAGGAGGATGTGTGTCCTCGCCTTGACACCAGTCTCCTGGCTTAGAGTCTCACTGTCAGACTCAGGAGTCAGGAAGTCTCCAGAGTCCAGACTCCAAACCCTTATTCAAGCTGACCGGAATCATGGATACCGTAACCCAAATTGCAATTCAAATCATGGTCGCCTGCGCGCTCCACCCCCCTTGCCTGTGCCGTCGTCTGCGAGACAGACCCCCCCGGAACCCTTGGCGCGCTGCTGCAATCTCAGCCGCCAGAATGTTCGCCACGGTGTCAGATCTAACGGTTTTGGAAGAAACGTTAGTCCGACTTCTGGCATCCAGTTCTGGCTTCTGGTTGAACGTTAGTCGGACTTGCAAGCGCGTGGTGAATCGTTAGTCCGACTTCAAATTTGAAGTCGGA